ATCTTGCGCCTGCCATGGGCCTTGACACCCTGATTTCGGCCTTTTTTGCCAGTCTTACCTCCCACCTATCATGGAACATGTTGTTCGACGATGTACAGGGGTCAAGGTCAGGGTCAAGGTCAACCTAGGTCATCTAAGATAATTGCGTTTTAGGCAAGCTGAATTTACTTTTTGTGAAGTTTTTTGACTGCATTTTTGGTAAAAGCTTCTCAGATCATGATTTCATGTAATATGGACCCAAAAACAATCGGTGCACACATCAGTATACACACAGACACACACAGACATACAAACACATATAATTGACCTTGACCTAACTTGACCTGAAATGACCTCAGCAGCAAAATTCTGGTCGGGTAGTGTGACAAAGAGGTTCTAGCTGGCTTGGCACCAGAAAACAGCATCGTCATCGGTATTTGATAAGCAGCGCACTTGATATCCAACGGTGACCCAAAACAGCAACATTTTTTAGTTTGACCTGACCTGGAAGGTCAATGACTGACCTGAGAAGGTAAAACTGGGTATCATTGGATTCGTCTCTTCCCAAAGAATCTTTTTGGTCTTTACCGCTAAGCTCTATCTCCAACAGGAACGAAATGGCGCGGGGGGGTGGCAACCACCCCCCCCCCCCCATGTGCGTTCTAGGATGGGAAAATGGCATGTGCGGGCGAGGGTTAAATAACAAGAAAACGGCGGCGCGCAGCGCCCCCAAATTTTCAGTACCTTCCCGGGCATCAATTCGACACCTTCACACAAAATGTCAAGTCTTAGGTCACCTTAGGTCAGGAGTTATTGAGGTCAAACTGAGGTCATGTTCGAGCAAAAATGAGCAAAAAACATGACATCTTGAAACGCTCACACAAGCTACAGTTAACGAGGAATTTCAAAGTTCTTTATGTAGTTGTGTAGAACAAAGACGGCACTACAAAACTGCAATCTCGGATTTTCAAAATTTTGTGATTTTAACCCCCTAAAATAAAAAAGATTTTGTTTATAAAATAGCGAAGAAATAACAAATGTTTTTCGAATTTCGAAAAAAGGAATATATATATGAAAGTCCCTACCCTCTTCTATCTACATACCAAATCTTAGATCGTTACCTCCTTTTTTGGTCAAGTTATAGCAAAAAAACTGTTCAAAATTGATTACGTCAAATTTTCAAACTCATTTCTCTTTAGCAATTCTAGACCACGTAGCGCAAAACAAAGACCACCATCAGACTCTCCGTAACGAGCTGCATCGATTCGATACCCATTTTATGCAAAAATATCAAGTTTGAAATTGGACCTAATTGGACCTGACCTTGACCTCACCTTCACCAGAACATAACCTAAACTGGCCCCAAAGGTTGTTTGACCCACATAATCGCATTTGTCATGTAAAATGGACCATAAAACATGCATCACATGATATTTTCATATTATGACCCTCAGTGACCTGACCTGTGACCTGACCTGGTATCAGTGACCTCAGATAGCAAAATATGTGTTTGACGAACAATTCCCCATCGATGATTTTCAATTATATGCATTTTACTCGATTAAAGGGAAACTGTCACCTTTTTCATTTTTCTTCTACTCAAATACCAAATTTTAGATCGATAACTTTTTTTTTGGCCAAGTTATAGCGAAAAAACTGTTCAAAGTTGATGACGTCAAATTTTCAAACTCAGTTTTTAGCCATTCTAGACCACGTAGCGCAAAACAAAGACCACCATTAGACTCGCCGTGACGAGCTGCATCGTATCGATACCGATTTTATGCAAAACTATTAACTTTGAAATTCGACCTTTTTTTACCTGACATTGACCTGACCTCCACCAGAAAGTGACCTAAGCCGTACTTGATGTTCCTATAACCATCACTATTGAGTTGGAAATGAAAAATTGGCCATAAAGCATGCATCGCACAACCCCAGTAAAGTTGGGTTCATGTGCTGACCCTTGGTGACCTGACCTGTGACCTGACCTGGTCTGATCAGTGATCTTCAATAGCAACATATGTATTAGGCAACTTACGCCCTGTCGCTGATTTTCGACAAAATGCGTTTTACTCGATGTTGTATCGCATTCCCTAGAAGACCCGTGAACGGTCAAACATTTTATCTTTGACCTGACCTGTGACGTCATAGGTGACCCCGAGGTCAACGAAATTCGAGTTCTCTCGACAAATTTGACAGGGCTATCGAACGCCGTTTGAATTTTACGGATCCGTCCAGTAGTTTCGGAGATACTGGGGGGGGGCAAAAAAATGCCCCCCCCCACACCGCGCGGAAGGTAGCCGGGAGGCCCACCGCCTGCCGGGTTAACAGCAGCTATGCGTACATAAACCATGTGCTGCTTTCAGCAGGGCACCTCGGCCGCAAGCTTGACATGGAATAGACAAAATAAGACGATCATTGAAAAGTCATTCAGAGATACGCTCGGAGGCATCACCCGTCCGCCCCCCCCCCTCCACCGATCAACATCTTGTGCCAAGGGCGCACCTGTTGATATTTTCCTTATCTCCTGTGCGCTGTTGGAGGGCCGTCTGTCGGCAGTACGACCGTCGTCGGGCGGCGGCGGCTCCAGGGTGCGCGGCGCGCGAGCCCGGACCGGGGATAACGTGAGACGCCACAGACGGCCGCCATAACAGGAGCAGGAGGGAGTCAGCTATAGGGACGCTGGGGAGGTTGGGAGGCGGAGGGGAGGGAGGCTTAGCGAGACATTATGACAGGGTGCATCAGCTGGGGAAAGGGATGATTGCTGGGGAAAGGGGCGAGAAGTGACTGTTGCTGAGGCCTATCCAGGGAGGGACGCCATTACCGGATCTGTCTAGATCGGTAGCGTACCACGGACCACAGCTCAACATGATCGCGCATTAGCCAACTGACAGTGCACTATACTGGGAAAATGCGCCAAGACGTAGAGATGTGACAAATCCTCGAATCCGCAGCCCACATGTCATACACCAATTTTTAGCTCAAAGGATTAAGTTATATAAGATGTTTTGCTTGCTCCGCGATGCAGGTGATTTACACAGTAGCAGGAGTAGCAATGCAGTAGCAGAGCAATGCAGAGTAGCAATACGATGCAGGAGTAGCAAATTTGGATAGGAATAGGTACCGGGTGGAAAGAAAACTATGTCCTGATGTCAAATCAATATGGCGGACCCAAGGGGCATCCTGCCCATTGGGACTGAAGCCGCAGTGCTCCCCTGTGGTTGAAGCCTTGGTCGTAGCAGAAGCAGGCTGGTGGTTCGGAGCCGACTGACGAGGCTCGCACGACAAAAGGACAGCAGGACAGCGTCCTGACGGCGGCCTCGGAAGTCGGCTCATCACCCGACAACTCTGGCTTCTGGGGTGAGTGGAGGTCGGCAGGGATACTCGAAGAGCGCGGCTGTGCTACCTGACGGACAGCACGGGAGGCTGACTGGGTCGTGGTCTGCGGGAGATGAAGCCAATGGCGGGCCGTACCGGCCGGGATGGTCGGGGGACCTTTGGGGACTTGCAGGGGACCTTTGCTCCTCTCATAGGCGTGTTGGTCGCTGGTAACCCGTGTTTTGTGGCCGGCATGTTACGAACCCGCATTGTTTTAGACCATGAGGGCGGACGGAGGTCGGACAGCGTGGGGACGAGCGTGCATGCTGCTGAAACGTGCTGATGTTTGTGTGTATCCATCGTCATGTTGAAGTGCTGTGAGGTTTGCTTGTGTGTTCCGCCTTGCTCTTTTGTGTTTTCTACCAAGAATCAAGATAAGGTCGATAAGATTGTTGCCTGTTCTAATAAAGTTTGAGGTGAGCTTTCCGGACCGGGAAAGCCCGATACGTCTGAACCGGGGCCGGCAAAGGCGTCTAAACCTGGACCGGTGGAGACAGCAGGACTGGGGCCAGCGAATGACAGCCATATCTGGGCCGATTGCCGAAAGCGGGGGTGTCTGCCTTCGATGCCCCACTGTATGCTGTATCGTATTGGCAGCCATAGGCGTTCCTCTCCGGCCGCCGCGTTCACGCGCTAAAGTTTCGCCGCTCCGCGGTGCCCCTGCGCGGACCATCAACAATCAACGTGCTCTGCCCGGTACGACTGGTTTGGGCAAAACCTCGTATGACTAGTGCTGCCTGCATACCTATTACGTGACAAGCTTGTCACCAAAGCCTAGTCCGAACAGGGCCTCCTTCAACATGTTAACTGGGGGGCGCCCCCCCCCCGTGATGCCGCTGCCCCCCCCAGTGGAGCTGAAATTGCGTCACTGGGGGGCACGCCATTAATGTAGACCATTAATGTAGAAAAATGAGGAAATTTCACTAAAAGCGTATCAAACAAACAATCCAGACTATCTCCACGATCAGCACGTTACTAATTTTAGTTTTATTAGGTACCTATAGGTACCGTTGTTTTTATCTACAAGGAACATTTCAGATCCGCCTTATTGCCTGAGACCAAATTTAAGTAAACTATTTAAAAAATTTAAGTAAATTTTAACAAACTGTAAGAAATTTAAGAAATGAATCTCACGTGCGCGTCACGACTGCCAACCATAAGCGCTACCATATTCTAGTTTGAACTAACTTTTTGCTAGTCCCGCCCACATATAGTAGATGTTCTAGTAGTTATACTAGAAATTCCTACCAAAGTTCGTCCTACCCGTCACTCAATATACCCTGGGACGACCCTACCTGGTATATAGGGCCTTGCTAATATTTAATGTAAGCTCCTTCCACGTTGATTGTTGCGACACCACATTAGCATAAACCAGTTTGCTAGAATTATATAATCTGGTCCAACGTAATTGGACCAGCTTATATTGAGTATATATTGAGTATTGAGTAATCTATTCGGTCAACATCACCAAAGTCGTCGCAACTCCCGAAAACGCCCGCGTATTTTACTGCGTGCGGCCGCCTACTCCTTGCCTGGCGGACGACCATTGACGTCATTTGGTCAGCTGAGCAAATGGAAACAAACTGCCCGACACGCCCGACGAGTTCACTTCCTAATATGCGGCCTTGGTCGGAGTCAAATTCGCCGTAGGTGCGCAATGTTTGGCGCATGTTAGCAAAATATGTTTGAATCTTTGAATGAACGATTCATTTGTGCGTTGTGCGCAAAGGGCGTGTGTGGGGTCTTATTGATTTTTGTTTCATCAAGCTACGATGAATACCCATTTTGCATTTATTTTTGTGATCTGCCTTCATTCATGTAAGTTACGTTGCTCAGGGATTGTTAGGTCTTACATAAATCATAAATGTTTTACCTACCTACCTATTTATTGATCTGGCCAGTTGCCCTCAAGTTTTGCCTGTTTAAAGTGTTAACTTATTGAAGTTTGAATCCTCTATGCATATGGTAATATTGTAATTTAAGGAATAGTAGTTTGATCGCAAATGGTGGCCCCTGAATCAATATGTGAATGAACGTGAACTTGACGTAGGCGTTCCAGAACACAGTGACCAACATCTTGCATCCTTATGCAGGTGCGGCCATCCGGTGCTACCAGTGTGCCACCAGTGAGGATGGCGAAAATGAGGACAACTGTGGCGCCTACTCCGGCTTTGATGACACAAAGCATGTTGGGGTGGAGTGCAACAGTGAGGAGGCAAACACGCCCGGCACGTTCTGCGCCAAGATTACTGCCCAGGGACCCATCGGCTTCATCTGTGAGTTGTTGGGGTAAAGCTGTGTTTAGGGACCAGCCACTGGTCATGGTTATCATTTGAATTGTGTGCTCATTTTTAGTTAGACTCAACCTGAATGGAAATCAATGATGAATGGGATGGTGCTGTTAACTACTAGCAAGGACATTGATCAGTTAGCTGTGAACTGTTATCCTTATTTTCCAGCTTCGATGTTTGGGTGATTGCAATGTGTTTTTGTCCAGATTCCCCCTGACCTTTGCCCTCTGTGCACCCCCAGGGGACGGCCGCTGGAGACAGGTCATCAGGCGCTGTGCCGCTGTCACCAAGGCTGGTGTGAATGATGCCTGCAACTGGAAGGTATGCCATGCCCTCTCCTTACTCACACACTTTTCCATGAACTTAAGAACTTTCTAAACCTGATCTTGCTACTTTTCTTTGCCTTTTAAGAGCAATCCATGGATTATAAACAGGATGAAACCATTACCAAAAACCTGCAAACCCCCAAACACTGATTCCACTGGCTAATCACTACCATGTTTTCTCCTCAGGTACAACTGAATGGTGAATACATTGAGGAATGCTATTGCTCCAAGGACAACTGCAATTCCGCGCCAGTCGCAGCAGCCTCCTGCCTTCTGCTGCTGCTGGCGGGACAGGCTTTGGGAGTGTATGCGGCTGTGTGAGAGATATTGGTGGTCTGAGGGGGGCAATGCGCACAGAAGAATTCTGGTAGATGTCTGAGAATTTCTGGGAGTCATTTGAGGATCACTGATCGAGGTTTGAAGAATGAACTAGAGCGTTTTAGCGACTGCCAAAAGGGTCCGAGAGGTGCCGTACGATAGGCGTTTTTCAGAGAAGTCTGATTAACAAAGGGTCTGGGGGCAGTCTTATACAAAAGGAGCAGTCATCCAAAACTTTGTCGCTGGTTGACTTTCGATAGTCACGCCTGCTATTTCAACAACGTATGAATGAAGCAGCCGAAAGTTTGTTTGACGATGCATCTGCCGTGACCTCGATTCCGTCCATGGTGATGAAAGCGAAGCATTTATTGAGAGGCCGATTTGTTGTTTCATGCATTGAAGTCAACATGTAACGAATCTCCGAACAGTGTTAAAACGACTTCGTCGGCGATATGATCTAAGCGTGCTTTTAGGCACTCGATTGTCTACTTTTGTAAGGTATTTGCTGCAGCTAATATGAATGTGATCGTCAACAGTTATGTTTTGACATTCCAAAGTAGGAATGCCGAGGAATTCCAACGTAACCCAATCCATCCATTAATGTGCGTACTTTGCTGGTGTGTGGTTTTACCAGACTCTGCCTTCGCACCATCGCTCTGTCATCTGTGTGCGCATCGCGAGTGAATATTTTCTCATTTACCCATCGGCAAAGTTTATGTCCGTCCAGAGCGTTGTCACTCGCAGTGATTTGATGGTATGGTAGATGCGAGCGTATGTACGGGCTTTGCTGTCAATTGTGCTGTAAATAGGACAGCGAGCTGGGATTTTTACATTTGTAGCAGACGTGTGTTTCATCAGTGCTGTATTCGTGATCACAAAGAAAGTAGATTTAGATGCACTTTTTCGCGTGGCGTTTGCACATTTGTTATAGTGAAATATAGTGAAAGGCTTCTCGTAGGTATCTTTCAATTAAAATATTTGGCGCATTGACCTCTCATTTTGTGTATATTTTCGTTTTGCGACTGGCTAACATCTCCACCATATCTGAAAGCCTATTTATTCCAAAAGGTGAAAGGTCATCACACAACGTATTTTACCTAGAGATCTTGCGTGTACTTGCAACGCTTGCGTCTATGCTCTTCAGGATTAGTAAACCTTTGCTATGTCTTGGGTACCGATTTGCAATAAATCGTGATCGTCACACTTGCCCGATGTCTTTAATATTTGTTAGGAGCAGCAAGCTCCCTCGCCTGCAAAGGACATTGCAGAGCTATGGGTTGATGTAAGGCGTAAAAATTAGACTGTGGGACCACCGACGGCGTGCCACAGTGGCAGAGACCGTGACGCCCAAACGGCCACCCCGGAGTTGCGAGCCCAAAGAGATCTTGCCCACACCACCAGTTGTCTGGTGGGGGGGGGGGGGGTGACCGCCAGCCCGGAAAGGGAAGCGTGAGGGAGAATGCGGATGGGTTTATACTGACTCTGAGGATGGCGAAGACGGATAAAAATGACCCTATAGGCTTGTTCTGAGAACAATATATGCATGCACTTCTGATTAAAGCCAACCAAGCTTGGTGAGCATTGGAGCATGACCTCAAATAAGATATGGTTGATGGAATGGAAGGAAGTTATCGCGACGATGGGGAATACGCATTGGGCAATTAGTTCGAAGCATTTATTTCATCACAGGTTTCAAGCAGCACACAATTATACTTAAAGATCACATATATTTTGTATAATGCTTACCGTGAGTTCTAGCTAGGCACACTGCACAATCCATTTCGAAATATATGAGATAATACGGCCATAAAATGCCGTTGAGATCTTCAGATTGTCACAGCACACGGTGAAAGGCACGCGAGCCGCCTCTTCTAAAGATGACAGCCACGAAAGGCACACAGTTCTACTATGGACTTCTATGGGAGGAACCGAATGAACCAAACACAACTAATATTGTCTATTTCACACTTCTGTACGGCATTCAAAACGTTCGGGTTATCTTTGAAGTGTAATATGTATGAATACACCGAATGTTTTCCGGTAATATTAAACAGGAGTTCTACGAATAACTATATAGGCATTGTGCGTAAAATCACAGCACTGTGTTACAATGAACATAACTGCTAATGTTTGAATTTGAAGAAGCTAGCGGATACAAACAGCAGCTTTATAGGCGTAGTCTCTACGGCACTAGTCTCTACGGCACTAGTCTCTACGAATGACTACGGCACTATCTAGAGCAGCGAAGACATGGAGCGGGGAAGTGGGCGCTCAATGTAACGTTTGTCTAATTTTGCTATTTTAGATACTAGACTATGAGTTTTTTTCAAGTGAATAATGACCCTTGTTCGACCCATTTGAATTATCATCGTAAATCACCCATTGATTCTTGAATGTTGCTATAATAGCTTACCAGAAATGCGTGTAGCTAACAGGGTCATGCGGTGCATTAGACGGTATTGCTAACCCCTGGGGTAATAATACTGATTAAATCACAGACGGCAGTCACAATGGTTGAGGGCTTCTCAAGCTCATTACCTCAATTTTGCAAGTGTTTTATAAAGAAAACAAGAAAAATTAAAAAATCAATGTAAAAATCAACACGTACAACTCCACATAACCATAACCATGGTGTGGAAGCTAGTAAATTCGATCCATTTCAATATATGAGCCAGCCTAGCAGCGACAAGAATAATAAAAAATCCAACATCCTGATAATATTTTCCAAACGGTAGACTCCTCTAAGCTGGCCACGGCCCACGACGATTCTCCCAGGATCCTCACCTAGGGGGCGGCCCTTCTCCCAGGATCCTCACTACAGGGCGGCCCTTCTCCCAGGATGATCGGTGGGCGCTACCATGTTATGTCCCAGTTTGGGCGAGTCCATTCCTAAAGCCGCGGGTACCGCTAGTCTTGCCTTTCCCGTTTTGGGCGAGTTCATTACGCTGTCCGAGTCTTTGGCTTGGTTTGCTGATGGTGGCAGGGGTGCAGCTGATTTCTTTTTCACCATGTTGGATGCCTCTCCAGTGGGTGGTGGCGGTGCCTTGCCCTTCTTCCTGCCGGCAGTGTGTCTGAAAAATGCCACAATCGACGTTAAAGGAAAATACAGATAATAATTAATTGGATAGTGGTCGACAATTGTTAAAGCGATGTCCGCATTTATATATCCAAATAAGAAGCTGAAACTTCAGCGAGGAACGAGTAGGTAGCTCCCTATGGAGAGCCAAGAGGCTAAGGCAGATAGCATTAAGACAAGAACACAGCATCTAGCCAAAATATCAAAACATGTGGCTATCTACGGATTGGCCCCTTCGGCCCTCATAGACTCACAGGTCCATCTGATTCAACCATCGATTGATTCTCGAGATTTTAACAAGTCACAATGAACTGGTCCTATGCATGACCTCCCACTTCAGTCAGTGAACTCCACCTGTGACCTCCACTATCCCTAAATAGACTCACCCTGTGACCTCCCCTACCACTGCAGTAGACTGACGCTCTCCAGGCCCTCTGTATGGTCATGGCCGCGGTCTCTTGTGACCTCCCCTACCACTGCAGTAGACTCACCCTCTCCAGGCCCTCTGTATGGTCCTGGCCGCGGTCTCCTGTGGCCTCCCCTCCCACTGCAGTAGACTGACCCTCTCCAGGCCCTCTGTATGGTCATGGCCGCGGTCTCTTGTGACCTCCCCTACCACTGCAGTAGACTCACCCTCTCCAGGCCCTCCGTATGGTCCTGGCCGCGGTCTCCTGCGACCTCCCCCTACACCACTGCAGTAGACTGACCCTCTCCAGGCCCTCTGTATGGTCATGGCCGCGGTCTCCTGCGACCTCCCCTACCACTGCAGTAGACGACCCTCTCCAGGCCCTCTGTATGGTCATGGCCGCGGTCTCTTGTGACTCCCCTACCATCAGTAGATCACCCTCTCCAGGCCCTCTGTATGTCCTGGCCGCGGTCTCCTGCGACCTCCCCTACCACTGCAGAAGACTTACCCTGTGACCTCCCCTACCACTGCAGTAGACTCACCCTCTCCAGGCCCTCTGTATGGTCCTGGCCGCGGTCCTGTGGCCTCCCCTCCTCTCATCTGTCGACTCTCCCGTCAAATCAGGAATCTCCAAATGTCGCTCGGACTTCTTCCTCTGCTTCACAGCTGGAGGTTTGTCGGGCTTTTC